TGGTCTGGAACCGAACCCTCAATATCTCCGAGGTATGCCTGTAGTATGTGTTCATGTCCGAATGGGGAGCTGTTTAGAGGATTTCAAAACACTGCTCTTCATTTTTTGAATTACTTTTAATAATAATGCTCTCATAAATCTGATTTTTAAAGGAAGAAAGTCAAAGTTTTTTCTCAATTTAAATTTCTCTCACTAAGATATCCTACAACAATGCAATTATAAGCTCAGGAAACATTCTGGAGTCCCAAAACAAACATGATTCTTTTGGACTCTAAAATATCAGAGCTGTATCTTTCTAGTAAGACTCATTCCAAACTCTTGTTTCTTGATGCTGACAATGCTCTTTTACAAACAGCAAAATTTAAAAACCTGTAGCCACTGCATAGTAAATGACCAGAATACATACCACAGCACTGTCACAAACTTGTGTGTGGAATTGAGCACACATGTGTTTAAAGAAGGTACATGTTGGCATGAGAAGCATTAAAGGGACTACTTCTTAAAACCAGATAGTGGGTGGAACTGGAAGTCAAGATTAACTAATGACAATATTAAAAATAAATTAGGCAAATAATTTTCATTCAAGTTGCAACTATAACATGACTAACGGTATTTTTCTAGTAAAAATGGAATGTCACTAGAAACTTATATTTTCTGCTAAAACTGACTGTAAGGGTTTGAGAACATTTTTTGCAAGGTCCAGGGAGTCAATAAGCTCCATCATTTAGGACACAGAGGTCGTGGACAGACATTACTATTGTAGTGCTACAAACACCATAGTAGCACTACAAAAGTCAAGGGGATAGACGCATGCCTGCCCCTGCAGCACTGTAAAAATGATGGAAGAACAATAGAAATGAGGGGGACTGAAAGGGGCACTGAAAGGGGGACTTCTCTGTAGTGTTACATTTTGTAGCACCCCATGTAATATGGATCCAGTGCAACATAGTGTTACACAGAGACTCTCAGTTCCCCAGCATCCCACATTCCTCTGTGCTCTTTACCCTTGGATAAGGGAAGCAGGGATTATGGAGTGGATAGTCACTAAGCGCAATCTGGGGGAAGTGCAGCCTGCCTGCTCTGCACCTGTCCCCTCACCCTGGGACTGGGCTGTCAGTGAGCACAAACTTACTGGCAGCCCCGTTTCAGCCTCAGTGCCATACTCACTGGTAGCAAGCTTATCTCCAGCAGTGGCAGGAGCAGATGCTTTAGAGGAAGAGCACTGAATTGGGTATATGTAGAGTGAGCAATCCCTGTTCATAGATTCATAGATTGTAAGGGGCTGGAAGGGACTTCGCAGGAAACAGGCTTAGGAGCAGAGGCTTTATTGCCTCAGCTCTGGGACAGATCATAGGGTCCAGCCCCTCTGCACTAGACAGGAAAGACAACTAGGGTCAGGTGACCCCAGTGAGGTGACTGTCCAGTCTCCTCTTGAAGATTTTTAGGGTAGGTGATTATACCACCTCTGGAGGGAGTTTATTCCACAGTCTGGACAGCCTAACTATAAACAAGTTTTTCCTAGAGTTAAGCCTGAATCACCCTCCCCGACATCTACCATCTAAACAAGATGCCAAAAGATACATCTCTGACTCTTCTGTTTAATAGTTATTAATAGATCTATCATCCATGAATCTGTCTAGTCCCTTTTTGAACCTGGCTATCTTACTGTTTCTACAGCAGGGGTGGGCAAAGTCCAGCCCGCAGTGGACTCAATTTCCCAGCAGCCCCTGCCCACGTGGCTGGTGCTGGTCTCCATGGAGACCCCAGCAGCAATCATGCTGTGATAGCACAGGGCTGGGGTTTCTGTGGAGACTGGCCCCAGCAGTGCTGGCAGGACGAAGTTGCTTCAGGGCCAGGCTGGGATCTTGCAGCGGTAACAGTATGGTCCAGAGCCAAGGCACAGCTGTGATCTGTAGCCTACATGCTCCAGGAAGGGGTGTGCAGGCAGCAGATTGTGGCTCAGCCCCAGCTCCAGACCATGCTGTCACCACCGCAAGGAGATGGGGCAGAGCTGTGATCTGCTGCCTGCATGCCCCTGCCTGAAGCATTCAGGCTACAGATCATGGTTCTGCTCTGGACTACACTATTACTGCTGCAATATCCCAGCCCAGCCCCAGATCAGCTTCCCACCCTGCCAGCACTGCTGGGGCCCATCTCCATGAAAACCTTAGCCCGTGCTATCACAGTGCAAGTGCTGCTAGGGTCTCTGTGGAAACTGGCTCAAACCGTATGGGCAGAAGCTGCTGGGAAATGGAGTCCAAGCCACCGGCCAGATCCGACATTTTCCATCCCTGCTCTACAGACTCCTGTGGTAATAATGACTTTCACAAGATAACTAAGTAGCACATAGTTTTAAAACTGTCTACTAGACTAGGGACAGAAATTGTACGTAAACAAGTTTAAACGACTGGAAACTGGTTTAACACTAACAGAACAGAAGTTCAGTCCACATAAACCACTTTCAAAATGGCTGAAAACAGCTTAAGAAAAACCTGGATGGATGTAGTATCAGACTTAACTGATTTAGGCTAAACCAGTTTTAGGAACCTCTGTCCCAAGTCCCCTCCTGACTCAAGTTAATTTACAGTCCCACAGCATCCTAAGATGCTTTGCAGCCCTAGGCAATGCTGTCTGCTCCAGCGACCAGGGCTGGCTCTGTCCCCAGCTGTCACAGAGCAGAGGCAATAAAGCCTCTGCTCCTAAGCCTGTTTCCTGCCTGTGCCTGTTAGGACAGGGGGCAAAGGACCAGCCCCCAGGCCCTCCTAGCCCCCAGCTGTATGTCAAGGGGAGGAAAAGCCCCTGTGGTAGAGGCTTTTTGCTCCCCTCCTTGCAGCTCACCAAGCCAGGGTGAGATTGGCTCAGCCCCACCCTCTCCCCAGCCTCTGCCTCCTAGAGAGATGGAATGCATCCTTCCCTGCTACCGCCTGGCATGGAGAAAAAGCTCTCCCAGCCAGGGTCTGCTGCAGGGGGGAGGGTAAAAAGCCCCCCACCAGAGCTCTTCTTGCCACCCCTCCATCAGTTCAGAGCCAGGCTGGGATTGGCTCAGCCTTGCACCCTCCTCAGCCATCTGCCTACCAGAGGGAGGGAGGTGACACGGGAATGCACTCCCTCAGAGAGGTCCACCCAATGTGGAGGGGAAAAGCACCAACTGGGGGGGGGGGGG